AGACCACAACCTGTTCCTGGCTAGCATTGGTTGCAATTGCATGACGCCATGAAAATGGCGGGAACAGTCAGTTGTGGGTTTGCGAAACGTCCCGCTTTTAAGCACTGGGTTTCTTCTAGTTCCTTACAACTCATTGAAGCCCGTCGGTCTACTCCGGTCGACCGTGAGTTTGACCATAAACGAAGGATGTTACGTAATGAAATTGGGCAAAGCTTGCGTAAGGACCGAGAAGCCTGGTGGTCGATGCGTGCTAATGAGCTGGAAGCAGCAGCTGCATCTGGTAACTACCGGAAGCTCTTCCAGCTCATCCGAGCCACTGGCAGCAAGAAGTCTGGTGTGAGTGAAACAATCTGCGAGGATGATGGAATGCCAATCACTAACATCCATCGACGTCTTGGACGATGGGCAGAATTTTTCGAAGGGCAGTTCAACTGGCCTGCTGCTCCGGCAACATCGGTCAGACTGTCCTGCCCTCCATGGCCGGTGACGACTGATCCACTAAACGGGCAGGAAGTAAGCAAGGAACTCCAACTCTTGAAGCGTTACAAATCACCTGGCCCAGATGACTTACCTCCGGCCCATTTTAAAGATGGTGGTGACTTTCTGGCTAAGGAACTGACTGTGTTGTTTATAGATGCCTGGGAACTAGAGACTGTTCCAACATCATGGAATGAGTCGATAGTTGTCTCTGTCTTTAAAGAAGTTTCACGTCGTTCCTCTAACAACTATTGGGGGATAAGTCTACTTCCGATTGCGTCCAAGCTATTGGCTTCCGTCATGCTTCGTAGACTGTTCAAAACCCGAGAAAGATTGACTCGCGAGGAGCAGGCTGGGTTTCGTTCTGGTCGAGGATGTATTGATCATATCTTCACCCTCCGCCAAATGTTAGAACACCGCCATACTTATCAAAGGCCAACAATCGTAGTGTTTCTTGACATCAGGGCTGCCTTCGATTCGTTGGACAGGGCTGTTCTCTGGGATTGTCTATTGAAGAAGGGTGTGCCTGAGAAGTTTATTAACATCCTAAAAGCCCTATAAACAAACACCTCAGGTAGAGTGAGAGCATACAACCACCTTTCTCCATTGTTCCATCCACGAAGTAGAGTTAGGCAGGGTTGCCCAACCTCACCATTCCTCTTCAACTTTGCCATCGATGACATTCTGGAAACAGCTCTGATGAATGTAAGTAATGGTGGTGTGGATCTGTTGCCTGGAGAAAGACTTTTCGACCTTGAGTATGCGGACGATATTGTCTTACTGTGCGATAATGCCCAAGGCATGCAATCCGCACTTAATCAGTTGGCAATCAGTGTCCGTAGGTATGGTATGTGCTTTGCACCTTCGAAGTGCAAAGTACTTCTACAAGACTGGCAGGATTCCAATCCTGTACTCACCCTGGATGGTGAGCAGATAGACGTAGTCGAGAAGTTCGTGTATCTAGGTAGCTGCATAAGTGCTGGTGGGGGTGTGAGTGATGAGGTCAATGCACGAATAGTGAAAGCCAGAGCGGCTTATGCCAATCTGGGCCACCTTTGGCGCCTTCGTGACGTTAGTCTGGCTGTGAAAGGTCGGATCTACAACGCGTCGGTGAGAGCAGTTTTGCTCTATGCTTGTGAAACCTGGCCTCTCCGAGTTGAGGACGTTAGACGACTCTCTGTGTTCGATCATCGCTGTCTCCGAGGGATTGCTGACATTCAGTGGCAACACCATGTCAGTAATGCAGAGGTTCGGCATCGTGTGTTCGGGCACAGAGATGATAATGCAATTGGTGTCACCATCTTGAAACACCGACTTCGGTGGCTTGGACATGTTCTCCGAATGTCGTCCCAGAGAATTCCACTTCGTGCATTATTTGCCGACTCTGGGACTGGTTGGAAGAAGCGGAGAGGTGGTCAGTGCATGACATGGTGTCGTGGTATGAAAGAAAGCTGCAAAGGACTGGCTTGTGTTGGTCCTTCACGACTCCCTGGCTGGGGTCCGATAGATGATGCATCACAGTGGCTAGAGACGTTATCAGATATGGCTCAGAATAGAAGCCAATGGCGATCCTGCTGTAACCTTCTTTTACTTTCTTCATAAAAAGTGGTTTTATCTTCTTTAACTGGAAAATTTCTGATTGTAACTTTCCGTTTACCCCATTATTACTATTATTACTATTATTTTTATTATTATTACACTACCTTACACTAATCTGTTCGTTATTGTTCTATTTTTTACGCTCCTTACCTTCTTTTGTTCTTCTCTTCGAATTCTCATTGTTTTGTGTGGCGCATATATCTTTGGTGCCCTCTTGTACCAATGTTTTTGTTGTTTGAAATGCGCTTCTCTCCCTCTAAATGCAAGTTGTTGCTTCAGGACTGGTCTGTGTCAACACCTGAACTAAGGATAGGGAGTGAAGTAGTCGAACGCGTTGACAACTTCACTTACCTTGGAAGTCTGGGTTGGTGTCTGACGACATTTTCTGCACGGTTCTCGTTTGGCTTTTGCCAACTTACGTCACCTATGGCGAAGGTGAGATATCCGTCTATCAATAAAAGGACGAGTATACTGCGCGGCAGTCCGTTCTGTTCTACTTGACGGCTGCGAAACATGGCCATTAAGAGTAGAAGACACTCGTAAGCTTATAGTATTTGATCACGTTTAATCCTTACTAGCAGGACTTGAAAAAGGTACTCTAAGATACTACAAGCACTCAAGCTTTTATGGAAGTTCATAATCTGTCATTTTTGACGAACTAGGTCGAATAAAATTAATGTATTTCTTAAAACTTTCATAACAGTTGTAGCATATTGAAATCACCATCACAATTATACTCAGACATACATGAAAAGTAATTTTACTTTTCATTTTATCAACCTCTGCTTCTGCGACTGCATGTTTTCTGTATAATTGTTGACTCGATCATTTTCGAGCTTTTGACTTTTTATCAAGATTACTGCTAAAGATTTTCAAAAGTTTACATTAGTTTCCTTGGTATAACATGTTAGAACGTTCAGTCATACTGAGTCGAGCAGCCAGTCATGCCTGCAGGACACAAAAATTAGTCATCAGTATTTTAGCAAGTTAGAACAATCAGATGAGTATGTAATCGTCTTCATCATCCTCTTAGTTAGGTCGGTCAGCTCAGTCATTTGGTGGTGTGGGAATACACCCGTTAAACAGTTTACTCAACAAATATTTCCAAGATTCTAGGAAACCCGTTAGACTTATAGAAAACACCTATTACCCTTAAGCACTAATGTTTCTACTCATTGATATTTAGTGTATTTTTCCTAATGAGTATGTCAATCCTAATATATGTGTCTGGTTTATAGTACAATTGTCCAAGGTTTCCACCAAAATCTAGATCTACGAACTACGGTTACAGAAGTTTAAGACGAAAATTTCCCAATTATAAAAAAAAATTCAGTCGCAAATAACCCTGAATGCTTTCTAGAGTCGGGTAGGACCACCTAGTGAATAGTTGTTATGGTTTAAAACTTCATGATTTTTATTGTAAAATGATTGCATCAGTCAGTCAGTCATCAACTACGTAGAACTTCATACGTACGTACATCAGTTCGAGTTGCCATACCACATTAGCACAGAGATACAATTGTCAGTTCAAATCCCATAATGGTAGATGTAGTAAATTATAAGCAGTAATCAGAAAGGTTAGGGTTTGAAGATGATATTCAAAGGGTGTAATCCAGTGAAATAAATTAGGAAGCAGAAAAAGGGACATGAAGAATTCAGGAGATTAAAATTTGGGCGAACACAAAGAGTGGAAAAATGATTGTATAGAATAATGATCAGTTGCCAAAGTGGAACAATAAAATGTATCTGATTGATGACTGCTCTCAATCCCAAATTATTGATCCAAACTGCCAAATGAACTGACATCAGAAGACAAGGCAGCTACATAAAAATAGGCTTATTATTTAACATAGTAACATGCTTACATACAAATTACTAGCAAAAAATAAATATTATTTAATATCACAAACAGTTGCAGAATATAAAAACTTTTATTCGTTCAATAAATTAAGACTTAACCGTTAGTCAGTGTTGACATAATTTGTGAATTTCTTGATAAATGTGATAAGTCAGTTAATGAGGTTCATTATTTTTATTGGCTGAGATGGTTGATATATATCACGTCTATTTATCAAATACCTACCTTGTTGTATTATGCTGGTTAGTAACTTTAGTGCACCAGACATGAATGCGACATCAGTACATGAAATTACTGGCTGAGATGGTTGATATATATCACGTCTATTTATCAAATACCTACCTTGTTGTATTATGCTGGTTACTAACTTTAGTGCACCAGACATAAATGCGACATCAGTACATGAAATTACTAGCACTTCAATATCCCGCCACAAACGTGAAACCTGTGCTAATAGTAACATGGCTCGAAAGTGCTTGTAGTAGCACAGATTCATTTACTTTTTACAATCGTATACACTGGATATTGTGATACTTTAGTTTTGATTCCCAATATATCTGTTTATTTTGAAATTTCTCTTTTTTATTTCTCACTACTTTTATCTCCGTCATGTTCACTCCTATGCTTTCCCCTTGTTTGTTTCCTATCAGTATCCTGAAATATAGCAACACGGACCAATGCATATTTCAACAAAGTCTCACGCCGTTTATCTCCGACTCCCGTAGACAAATTTTCTCCAGAAATTTAGGACGTACTTCGTATGGCCTAATGGCATTATTATTTTAAGCGTGGAAATGATTTTTCACGATACCCACGAAATGATATTACTTTCATCCTCACCCATAGTAAATAACAATTTAACACGAACTTGGTTCTCTACTCTGCCATATTGTTGTTGAATAAGAGTATATACCTTGGGTGTGTTTTTTGCTAGTTTATACAATAGAGATATACCATGTGTTATATAATCATTGGTCAACTGTTTTTCAAGTCAGTTCTATTGCTTTATTGTCTATGATGAGATCCATACTCGTTTACATGCTTTTATTATGAATTTACCTCATAGAAACATGAACTCTTTCGATAATCCTGGGGAAGGTGATCAAAACAATCCTCGACAGGCTGAAATCGAGCAGAAAAAACTCGATATTGCATGTTACAAACATAGCTTGGAGCTAAACCGTATTGCTCTTAGCAAGACCATTTGGGATATACGTAATTATTGTTTCACTAACGCTCAAAATGACCCCTTGCTCTGTCCCCCAAGAGACAATCCATATAAATCCCAACGATCATGTACAGTTATTTAGGTTTTTTTACAGTTGCTTTCTTTTTATATATATATTTGCTTCCTTTGATTATAACCTACTTAAAATGCTTTTAATTATTTCACGCTATGGAAATAGTGATTTCACTAACTTATTTGCGAACATCTGATTGGTACTGATATTGTTGTTGAAGCCAATGTCTATGGAAAAATGTCAAAATATAACTATATTGCATAAGTTTTGTTTCTCAACCCAAATGTTGTGTGATCTATCAGTAAGTCAGTCAGTCAGCTACAACGTAGGACCAGGCACATATATGCATCGGTCCAAGTGGTCATACCTCATTAGCACAACACGATTAACATCGGATTCACAAAAGTAGTTAATTCAGAGGTGGTAATATATAAAAGAAAGATCGCAATAAGGATATAGTACGGGAAGAAAGAATTAGTTCGTAGAAAGAAAGATATGAAGCGATTTTAATCTCTTAGTTTAAAAGAAGATAGAGAGTGTATACACCTACGATATTGTGATCGATTCTGAGCCATGTCACCTAGTCTCCAACCATTGGTTACGATAGTCACGCGGACCCCAACCAAGTAGTCTGCATCTACAAACATGACTCAAACTAGAAGCTAGTGACTTCAAGCACTGATGGCACGTTTTGGTTTGGCCGCCCCTAACTTTCTTACAACCATCCCGAACACCGGTTAGCATCGCACGTCGTGGTAACCGGTGTTCGGGTATACGTAACACGTGCCCCAACCATCTCAGTCGATGAAAATTCACAACCTCATAAACTGATTTACCATCATTACCTAATACCATGCGTCTAACCTCACTATTACTTACCTGGTGATCCCAGCAGACGCCAGCAATATTTCCAAGGCATCTGTGGTCAAATACTAGTAGCTCACGAGTGTCTTCTACTCTTAATGGCCATGTTTCGCAGCCGTCAAGTAGAACAGAACGGACTGCCGCGCAGTATACTCGTCCTTTTATTGATAGACGGATATCTCGCTTTAGCCATAGGTGACGTAAGTTGGCAAAAGCCAAACGAGAACCGTGCAGAAAATGTCGTCAGACACCAACCCAGACTTCCAAGGTAAGTGAAGTTGTCAACGCGTTCGACTACTTCACTCCCTATCCTTAGTTCAGGTGTTGACACAGACCAGTCCTGAAGCAACAACTTGCATTTAGAGGGAGAGAAGCGCATTCCAAACATTCTGGCATTGTTGCTCAGTGCTATCAAAATACTCTGCATTTTATCAGCGTCTTCACGAAACAGGACTATGTCATCTGCGTATTCTAAGTCGATAAGTGGACCTCCTTAAAGGAGATCAATACCCGAGAATTCGGTCGATGAGAATGTTATTTCCATCAGTAGGTCTGTGATGAAGTTGAATAAAAATGGAGAAAGTGGACAGCCTTGACGGACACCACTTGAGGCTGCAATAACAGATGACAGTTCGCCATAAGCTCTGACTCGACTGGTAGTGTTCGAGTAAAGAGCCTTCATAAGGTTTATGTACTTCTGAGGTACGCCTTTCAATGACAGACACTGCCATAGAATCTCGCGGTCTACCGAGTCAAATGCTGCTTTTAAGTCAAGAAAGACCATCATTGTCGGACGCCAATAAGTATGCCTATGTTCTAGAACCTGACGAATGGTGAATATGTGGCCGATGCGGCCACGACCAGGTCTGAAGCCAGCTTGATTCTCTCGTGTTTGCAGTTCACGAGTCTTAGTTAAGCGTCTGATAATTATCGAGGCTAGTATTTTAGATACTATATTAGTTAAACTAATCCCTCTATGGTTGTCACAGGTTGATTTTAACCCTCTCTTATATATTGGGACGATAAGTGATTGTGACCAGTCAGATGGAATAACGTATAACTCCCAGATCTTAGCTAAAATATTAGCAAACCTAATCGCTAAAATTGGACCACCATCCTTAAAGACCTCTGGAGCCAATCAATCTGGACCAGCTGCCCTTCCTCGTTTCAGATTATCTATAGTTTTCTGAACTTCAGCTAGCGTCGAGGGACCTACTTCAATGTTCTATTCACACTGTATGGGGATGGTGGGTAGTTGTAGAGTAGCTGAACTGTTCCCTGAAATGTTCCGCCCATCGTTCTAAACGTCTGGACTGAGAGCAGATGTGGGTGTCGTCTTTTCCAAAATCGTCTCACTTACACTTGACTTATTAATGCCAGTTTATTTTATTATTCTGTGGAGCTGTCTTGTGTTACCTACAGCCGCCGGCTTTTCCACTCCTTTTGCTTTCGTTGCTCACCACTGCTCACGGTCGTTTCTTAGACTTTTGCTTAACCTAGATCTGATTTGTTGTCGCTCTTCATCGTGTTCAGAGCCTGATGGGATGAGTTTACGAGAATCCATCAGTGCAATAGACCTTGAGGAAATCCATTGGTTCTTTGTAACCCTGTGGTTTAAATCACTAATAGATGTCACTGCTGTTTCCAGGGCTGTTTGTATAGCTTTCCAAGCAACATCTGGGTCAGCCTCGTTTTCAGAACTATTTAAGTGTGACCTCAGTTGTTCCTGGAACCTACTTTTGGTTTTCTCGCTACTCAAATCAGTTCTAATTGTTCTTTTTACTGAGGCTTTTTTCGTCCAGCGAGGCGCAAGCAGATGCGTGCCCGTATTAGGGTGTGGTCGGAATCCAAGCAGGTACTCCAGAATGAGCGACAATTTTCCAACGACCCTCTCCAACGATGACTGACGGCAATATGGTCTATTTGAGTCCATCGTTGGTTTGGTGCAGGCGCTCGCCATGTTAGACGATGTCTCTCCTTATGCTTAAAATTGGTGTTTGCTAAAAATAAACGAATGTCTGAGCACAGTTGCAGCAGACGATCACCACTATCTGTTTGCTGAGCCGGAATACCAAAATACCCACCTAAATGCCTTTCTATTTAGTTTAAACTACCTCTCTAAGCATTAAATACAACTGCTACGAGTACTATGTCTGAACGTTTAGCTTTCTGAAGAAGTTCGGACAGCTTTCTGTAAAATTCATCTTTCACTTCATCTGAGCTGCAGTCAATGTGAGCGTAGGCAGAAACGACGAAAAGGCAACGACGTGTGTCCCTATTCTTCCGAGTTCTTATGGAGCCGTTCAACCGAACAGCACATAGACGACTGTTGACGGGGATCCACTCTAACAGTGCTTGTTCCGCCCTCATGCTTAGTGCTATCCCTATCCCTGCCAGTCCACGAGAGCTGGCCGTCGGGTCACCAGATACACGTAGGGTGTATCTCGTTGGCTCTCCGTTTTGCCGAGGTGAGGTCAAGTGGATGACCACACTGGGATCCTGTATGCGTGTTTCAGAGACACAGCATACATCAACGGTACGAGATTCTAGAGTTTTAGCCAAGGAAGCCTGTTGATCGATTTGACATAGGGTGAGTACATTGAAGGCTCCAATGTGTAGTTTGGAGCGAGGTTTCAGTAGACCTGGGACAGTGTTTTGCTCACTAGAATCGTTGGCTACGGTAACATTTGAGGAGGAAGCCGAAGAAGGAAGTTTAGAGTTTGAAGTTGATGTAGGAGGAATAATAGAAAGTGAAGAGGGAGGTTGATTATGAATACAGTGGTCTTGAGTGCTGTTAGAGGTATGAGGGCGGTTATCACTTCCCGGTTGCCCACACCGTGGAAGGGTTGTGTTTGGAGGTACCTGAAAAGGAAATTGGATTATAGGTGGTCTTAGTGACCTGGGAGCGCGACCGCAGTGCCCAAGGGACAACTGCTTGAGGTCGGTCACACACGACCTTTTTATGGGTAATTTTTGTGTTAGCTCCGTACTTATTGAGACCTTACCGCCGGAGACGGATATCCGTGGGATAAGGCGAGGTGTGCATTTTTAGGGTCGACCTTCTCTAACCCCACCCCTCCTTGTGGGGCGTGACAGCATCGCTGTCATGCTGGTTGTCTGAAGGAAACACCTTACTGCTGTCACACCTCTGTACAGTCAGCAGTACGGCTTCGCCTTCGGACCTTGGGTTTGTTGCTTTTAGTTTTACCGCTCTTCAACTGACCTGTCTGACATGGTAGCACTTGAGGAACAGTTGTTCCAGCCAGTATAGCTCGTTTGCTTCATCACAATAGGCAAGCCCGACCACCACGTCAAGGTAGCAACAACGGTCGGGTGTGTGAACTATCGATAGCTGTTTAGTAGAACTTTTCTGAAAATATTGAAACTGTACTTGACAAACGAATATACTCAATTCGTGTAATTGTAGCCAAAAATTACAACATATATTATCTCGAAATATACAACAAATACTGAACTACTTTTCAGTTAGAAACTGACATCTCGATACATACTGAGAGCACTAAAATATTGTCTTTGATACGCTTGTTTTGCATAGCACATCTCTATACTCTAAACAAGATGACTAATTGCAGTCTGATAAATTTAGAATTATAGTTGGATCTAAATTATTATTATCCAGAAATCACTACAAAACCTGTGGAGAAGACAAATACGGTATTATTATTTATTCATTTGTATCAAAAACTAGGAAGTCTTTTTTCAATGTCACCTGATCACACAGGTTATAGACTAACTTTTAATACACGTAACTTTTGTTTGTAACTATCAAGGTAACATCAATAAAACTACTAGAATTTTGCCCTTACAAGATATGTCAAAGAAACGAACTGTACGGAGTATCGTTTACCTTTTCTGTAAATGTACCAGCAGTATTTTGGTTCCACTGGGATCCTAACAACATATAGATGGGTTCCTAGTCGGATAGGATGTCCCAAATCAATGAATTAGATGCAGTTCTCTTGTAATGTAAAAATGAACAATATCTAGGTGACCGGTGTTGTTCATGACAAATAGTTAAATAAATTTCTGATTCACATAGCGGAATTCAGACGTTTCTATTTAACTTTAATATTATTTACATTAGATTTTTTTAAAATGGTTATGATGAAGAAAGTTAATTCGAGTTTTTATCAAAAGTTATTGCTTCTGCTAGCAAGTCACAAGCGCCCTTGTGCTTTAACCAGTGCTTTACTTGACATTCTCGACCACAGTACCATTCCTGACGACATCTTGAACATCGTTTGGAGGCAATTTCTCCACATGTTGGACATCTTGGTGTTGGATATAGAGGATTTTCATCACCTGAATTCCCCAAGGAGTAGGAGAACAATTGACTGAGATGTTCTTCAGAAAATGTCTCAGTCCACTGCAATGCTGCCTTTTTCGCCGCCTCTTTCCCACGATTAGATTCAGTTTGTTCTTTGAATAGTGTGGCAAGTTTCCTCCATTTATTCTTATATCTAAAAAGATAATGCAATAAAACTATTTTTGTACTTAGTTGCTATCGGAGTAAATTCTGTTTCAAAATTTCCGTAATTGTTCTATATTATTGATAAGTACGATTTAGATTTTAAAACAACGGGAAATATCCGGGGTATAAATATATATGGCTTAAAAAGTAATAGGTGTATTAGGATAACAGGAACATTTAGTGTCAAATACCATCTACAATTCCGTTAACCACTAAGTCATAAATTCATTATCTTATTAATAATCAAACATTTGGTAAGACAATACCACATAATTTAATTAACTAGTAGTAAATATGTCTTACAGTATCGTATATAATATTTACTGAACTTTGCATACCGGTAGTTGTTAAAGCCTTTGCAAAATATACCTCTGTGTAAGTCAGATACTATCCAACTACTAAGAACATTTCCATTCCGGTTCGTTTTCTGGACTCTGATACTAAGGGATGTCCATTTGTTTTCACTGTATTTCATAAAGAGGTTTATCAGGCTTCCTCTTTTCCAAATATCCTGAAATAAGACGTACAGAGCAACTGATTGTTCGGTATGTAAACCTCCTAGAGTATCTGTTATTTGTAGAATCAATCAAGCCTATTCTGGATGCCTTTCATTTGTTTGATCAGTTAACTCTCTACATAATTTATGTCTTTGGACATAAGTTTACAGAATTCTCTAAATAATCTTTTAGGACTATGTGATTTAAGTAGTTCCTTGTGTATATATACTGGAATTATGAATATCTATATGTTACATATAAAAAAAGCTTGTTTATTACTTTTGTTATCTCGCGTAAATAAGATTCAACAGCTTTTGAAAATGAAATCACCGAAAAGAAGCTTTATTCCCTTCAATGTTTATTTTATTTCCTGGTGAGGATAATGAATCTTCTAAGTAATAAGATTTTCGATAAAATATTATAATTGCCAAAATGCTTCTTTTAATGTCAGATCCGAATTGGTTCATAAATGTTTTAGATTTTATTTAAAACGTAAATTTACCAGATAACTTTTGATAAAACTACCTTATCCAAGCTATATGACTTTATTGTGAAGCTTTCATTGTCGTTTCGGACACCTCTACCAGTACTTACGATGAAGCTACAAATTTTGCATATCATTTAATGACTACTTTGTTATAATAGTAAATTACACATTAATTTAAATGCTGTTGACTGTTGGATCGTCACTATTAGACTGCAGCTTGTTTTAATGCGGTTCATTGCTGTTTATTGTTTTAATGTGTTCAAATAAATAAATAATCTAGTAGTACTACCACATCTACACATAGAAATGATCATTTATACTCCTGAGAAATAGAAGTTGATACATAAACTTTTTGTGTACTACTTCTTCGACTATTGCATACGACAATAAAAACATAAACACTGTATTATAAGATAAGGATATAGCATTATTTAACAGACATTCAAAGATGATTTATTTTGATGACTACTAATTATCCATCTTAGTTGCATCGAAAAACTTTTGTCGTCACAGATTGGATTGAAACAGGCTTCATCAATGCTAATAGAGGTCTGAAATCGAGTCTTGTGAATAAAAAAATAACCATAACTGTAATTAATTATATTTTAGTAAGAAGTTCAGGACATCAGCTTGTTTAATTTACTGAACACAGTTAGAAGCAAAAAAAGTAAATGAGGTCCGTACCATACATCATCTGAATTTGATTAGAACGACTATTTAGTGATTTCAAGTGTACCAACGTGGTAACGTCTCACGAAATAGATTCTCTAAACTACGTCCCATTTTTTTCTAAATAAAGAAGAGTTCGATAAACAGAACCATTCAGCATCATAACTTCAAATAACGCAACAACAACTATTTAATTAGGCCTTGAATTCTTAAATTGTTAGCTACATTGAAGGGTATTGTGTGCTTTGAATTTAAAAGTTTTCTGTTATCGTCCTGATTATTTATGGAAACTCCTCTACACTTTGGAAATATTAGCACATACAAATTTAATTAATATTTTCACAAGTAGTCCTTAAAATACTTTACTGACTGTACAATAAGCTGTAGAAGCTTCATGAGTGTATAAATTGAATATAAAATAGTGTAACAAGACTACTACACTCATCATATAAGACTTACTTGCTAACCAATGATTCACGAATTTCTGGTACTACTTCTATAAGGCACATATTAATTTTATCACTTGTGCCTCCATACGATTCATTAAGACTTAAGTGCTCCAAAAAGCGTCTTAGGTCAATTAAAACAGGTAGAACATCTAGTTTTAATTCGGTAAGTAGTGGACGTAGTTTCAATAAAGCAGTCCTTCTGTGGCTAACTGAACAATCATATTTTAGGGAAGAACTATTGGCTAATAGAATTTGAAATAGACATAACCATATCTATAAAATACAAAGATAAACATTGGAGTAAGAATATTAATATATTTTTCGATAACTGCATACTAGTCGACAACCTTACCTAAATTCAAAAACAATAACATTTCCGAAAAGAATTGTAATGTGTTCCTTCCATATACATCAAAATGGTGTTATATTTTTAATTGCAATCTAGAACGCATACCTTTTATCTTAGCACCAGAGTTATCACATCTTTCTCATTCAGTGTCTAGCTTTTGTATGTTTGACTCGTGCTGGTCTTACCTGCTTTGCAGTGTATAATTATGTACTCGTTATTATAACTTGCTATCAAACACTTTCAAAGCTGGTTCCATAGCTTGTCAAACGATAAACAACCTATTTTACTCCTGCTAGTATTTCTCTGCTCATCTCATCATTTTTATGCAGCCTCCTAAGCAAGTGGATTAGCCAGCACTGTTAATGACTTTTTAGTGGACCGTGGTTCTCGACTCCATTTCAGATTGTATGGATGTTTGTTATCGCCTTTTCTCGTATATCATCGTCGACTTAAATCGCGTTATCCAATAACGGAATTAAATAAGTCGAATAACGAGAATTGACTTGAGAATACATATATTTCGTACATGAAGCGAATGAAACATAGCAAAGCAAAAATGACACGTATGGAAGATGGCTGGGAAGCCAACTCCATTTCAAGCCGGGCATTACTCAATATTTATAGGCAGACAAAATAAACTACAGACATGTGATGAGTCATGGGACATGAAGTGTACACACACATACGCTCATATGAAAACAGTCAAGGCTAATAATCGAGTAATTAACAAGGTCAAAACATGACTCAAGTAGAACGAATAGAATGGAATGTCCCGAAACTAGAATAAGATATATTATGGGCTAAAACTGATGACTAACACTACAACTTCACTCCTGCATTACAAAGTAGATAATATATAAGCAAACCAGATCTACAAAACCTTTTTAGATCGCAATGGAGAAACGCATTCGATGTAACCTGTGTCTGTAAAGACAATGAATTAACGGTATGAAGTAATGGAAATTAACGTGTCGGATCTGATGCAGTTATCCGCCGAAGACAATGAAAGATGGTCACTCAATTTCGTGGATTGGTTGAAGTTAGATAATAACAACTTTGAATACCGACTTAGCGATCTGGAGGTCGGGGATTCGAGCAAGAGACCGAAGGTCCTGGACTCTATTCTCGCCTGCAAGGTCGCAGATGTGCACTGCCGAGAAGTCCTATATTGGAGCGAAACGACCGTCCAGTGCTTCCAGGTTTTCAATGGTGGTCCGGCTTCAATTGACTCATGATCTTAACCATTGAAATTATTATAATATCCACGAAACCCATCTGATATTAATAAATACTTTCTTTACTACTTTTTTGGAAGCACAACAGTGTTCTGGATATTTCATTTTTGAATCTGTTCCTAAAATATACCAGATCTGATTTAAAGATATGTTTTTCGTTTTTCTCATGAGATAAAATAATCCAAGCCCTAGTTTCACATTGGTTAAAGACTTAAATCATTGGTTTCTTATCTAACCAAATCCAGATAAACATATTAATATTTACTTGCGCTTCTGGCTTGTGAATAACACAGGATGTTTTTTCATCTGGTATCCATGACCCGTTCTCATGCCAAATATGTTGACGATGTTGTGTATTAGATTTGTCATAACCAATTATTATCCATGGTTTCTGTTCAAGTAATTGACAAAGTATAATTGGGATATCATGTGTGTAAAGTAAACGACGTCCAATACTAGGAGGTAATCCACTGTCTGAATTTAAACAGTTTTCAAACAAGTGTCTAACAATAGTGATAGCTTTAATACCCTTTTCATATTCTATAACCTTATACTGACGATCTAAATCCTTCAAATTACTGGTATCACTAACCTATATTGTTACAAGGGATAAATAAAAGATTTATAATGTTTTTTTTAATGGATAAATTTAATCAGTTATATGAATGGTTGGATAATTTAGCTCCAATTCTGAAGTCTTACCTTTGATTTCTGCTAATATTAATAGCACAAATAGGAAATAAACACCTTTCATATGATAAATCAATAACTTCGTTACCTAGGTTATTTACTTGACCTCATCAATCTCAAAATCGATAGGCCAAATGTTCTATCAAGGTTCCTTGGGCATTTGTAAGATTTGATTCAATCGTTTATGCGGTTTGGCGATTTCATCAATTAATTTACCAGCTCTAATCAAAACTTAGCACTAATTTTCAAAATTTCATATTATGTGATTGCTCGACAAATGAACATTTCTAGAGTATTGTTAGTTTTAACCTAATATTCATGCCTTCTAGTTTGACTACCGAAAATGCTGTCCATCATTATTTTCTGTCGTATTTTATAAACTAATTGTCATCGTAAATCTGACTTTCCAAGTAGTATTTTGTTTGCTCAACCTTTTCGTAATCGAAGAAAAATATGATATTAAACACGGTCTTTCATATTCACCAGTAAGAAACCGTAAATGCCAAAATAGTTGCTATATGTTTCATTTTAGTAAAACGCCATTCAGATTGTTTGTTTTTGAAGTACTCCGAAATTTCTATGACATCCACATAGATCACTATGTAGCAAATTTACATTACTTTCATTACCTCATATATACCTGCCTATAAGTATTCAGTAGTTGATTGTCATGGATGTCTCATTTGTACTTGGAAAAACGTTTTGGTGAATATAAAAGATTCTCAATCCATTCAAAATTTCTTGTTTGACAATTGAAGTCGTAAGTTGGTCTCAGACTACTAATAAAAACCTAGAAGCATTGGGCGGTCGTTTCGTCCCAACAAACGACTCCTTAACGATGTGCTTCAACGATTCCGCACACGCGACTTGACTCGTGATTTCAGTTGTAAAGATACTATAATCTCCGCTAATTCTCTACACTAATGTCCGATTTAACTTTTGTTTTGTTTCATACATGACCACCAACCAACTGAAATAAACAAACGAATACGTTTCCTCCCTTTTAAAGCTTCTAGAAATAACTTCCGTGTCATCTTGTTGGAATGAACACATGTCTTTCAGGTTTTTAACGAATTCCAGTTGTAAGTTCTTTACAAGACATATAAACTTTTGGACTACTTCAAACGAAACATTCTGGACCAAAACGTTAAGAATTAATAGAAATACCTATATTTTTGCCTTCTTGAACGAATGATAACAAGAAATCTTTTCTGTTATATGTTAAACTGAAGGAATGTTGCAAACCAGTATTTCACTTTTGATAATTGTTCCAGTTTTCAACAGCTCGGTGAATTTTGTGAGAGCCGACGTACATTAAGAGATAATCTGTACAAAAAGACCTAACCTTCAATGATTTCCAAAACTTAACTGATTTACTGACAAATTGCTTTATTAACTCCAGAAAATGTTGATAAGTACCTTATTTTTCAATTCGAAATACACTGACTTTTCCTTTTCTGATGCTGATTGAGTTACGAGATAACACAATGACCGATGGCACCAATCCCCTAAATCAGTAACTGAATCTCCAAAGGTTTCTACTGCATCACTGTGGAATGTCACGGTTTCTAGTAAATTTGCCAACAGCAGTTCATGATATATAATAGTATACAATGGGAACGCAGATTTAGGTTCCTCTATATCGCTTAATATAATCTTAAACACTTTTTGCTTCCAAAGTTCAACCATTATTAGATCGTGAACTAGAACCGGTATCTTTTGATGACTAACAAGAAATTCTTTGATAAACTCATCTGATTGAGTACGAGCCGAAGCAACAGCCTGAAAATAAAATAAATTACTATTTGTTTTTACCTGCATATTTAACTTGTTTAAATACCCATGATAATTAAACCACCTTTCTAAACCGAAATCTCCATATTTTAAAAGTTCCATGGACCGTATAAAAATCTCAGCCTCTCCAGGATATATAATAAATTGTTCATTGCCCTTGTACTGCAAAGAATAAAATATATCACTAAATAATGCACTCGAAATGACATTTGTTGCATGTATACACAAACTTATGAAAATAAGCATAAATAGCCTTCGAAAACTTAACATTGGAAATGTCTATTTAGCTCAGGCACATAATTTCATTCGCTTATTTTCCTAAAATGGCAGTCGTCTGCGATTTCAGCTGTTTGGAAGACTGCAATCTAGTCAGCATGAATATTAATAAAGTCACTGAAAAGCCGAACTAATTAAATGTTATTAGTATTACTACGTACTTAACGAAATCAAATAGAAATAGAGTCTTCAGCGTTATAAAAAATGTCTAAACACATTAGGTTCCAGACATCCAGTAAATGTTTACTATTTATACCAACAGATGAACCTCAAACTTGACTGTTTTTTGTGTTCATTTTTCACGAGATGTGGTTGAGAACAAAATTATTGAAAATTTCAGAACATACAAACTATACCAGTAAAAATTATTATCCTGAATTCAGTGGCAGTGTCAGGCGTACCAAAGAAGTACGTCTACCACGTACAGGCTCTCTACTCGAACACCACAGGTTGAGTCACATCTTAAGGTGAACTGCCGTTATATTTGGCTTCAAGTGGTGTTTATCAGGGTTGTCTGCTTTCCCCGTTTTTATCCAACTTTAACATGCACTTAGAGATAACGCTCTTGTCATCCGGCTTTCAGATAATGGTCTTCTACCAGGATATTTACTTATTGACTTAGAATATATGTTTCTGTTTCGCGAAGACGCTGACAAAATGCATAGTCTTCTGACCACCTATAATTAAGAATCGAAGCATGCTTTATATGTGGTTCTCTGCCTTTAACTGATAAATATTACTTCGGCATTGGCTTACGTCATTGCTCGAGTCAATATTAGTGAGTGAAGTAGTTGAAAGCATTGAGCAGTTAGCTTATCTTCAAATTTACGTCAGTCCCGATGGTCTGATATTAGTCTGAATCTCGATACGGATTTTAGAAGACTTGATCGATTTTTTCAAACTTGCGTCACATGTAATGTAGGCGAGGTACCTGTCTTCCAACCAAGAAGTGAGTTTGCTATACAACACTCCTACGTTATGGATGTAAACCATGGCCAATAATAAGAGGGGATATTCGTAGGTTACTTGTACTGGATCATAGTTGTCTACGAAGCATTACTCGTGTAGTTCGAGACGACGGAGTAAGCAATCCCTTGGTTGGAATTATGACATTAGGGTGAAAAATCGATTGGTGAGATAATTATTCTTCATCTATTGATGTGGTTGGGACACGTGTTATGCATGTTAAACCAATCCCCACCTCAAACAAGGTTGCTTTCTGGTGCGGGGGTAAGCTAAAAGAAAGGCAGCCGAAGCGTGGCATCAGTCCATGGAAGCACTGAAAACCGAACTTAGCCATGCTCGTAGGTATAGATTACCTGGTGGGAGTTTGCGTGACTATCGTAACCAATGAGTAGAGACTTTGAATGATATGGCTCAAAATTATTTTGCTGTGGCGTATATGCATCTGTTCCTTACCTTTTCACAAATTATAAATTATTCAAAACCTTTTTTGCTGATACCATTATTACCTCTACTGTTCTATAATTTGGCCTGGTAATCTCATTCCTCTGTGCTAACGGTTATAGCAACTTGAACTGCGGTAAATAAGTACCAGATTCTATATTGTAACTGACTGGTGTTCACAAAGATATTGCTATGTTATTAAGGTGGGATGATTAGTGATATAGATCAGCTTGCACTCATATTCTATGATATCAGTTAAAGAAGCTGATCGAGATTACTTTATGAACATTATCGTCTAATATAACTTAACTCAAACTATCAGTCTCCATCTGAATTGTTATTCAAATTAATGACAGATTTCGTTTTCTCTTTCTCAAATGACTGTATTTCGTACCACGCTATCTTGAAAAAAAACCTTTTCTTACTCCACTGAACAAACCCTTGTTATTTTTCGCATCGTAATTAAACCGAAAGACATTTTCTTGTACTCTGTTAGTAAACCGTTGATGGTTCTGTGAGTCGTGATACACACGTGTTTTCTTCATGACAAACTGTCCAATTATAATTCAGCCTTTATTTTAACGCAATAATTTATGATAGTTGACATCTTTATAAGACATTAAGTATGAGGAACTGCCAAAAAATAGATGCTTTTAGTAAACTGTTATCTATCTCAACCACTAAGTGTTTCCAATACTTCTGCTTCTGGATACATTTATCGTAAAATATTTGACTTTAGAAAATTCAAATGAATGGTGTTAGACTACTTCCCAACAAAGTCTAGCTTTTTTATATTAAAAAAATGAGGTTTCGACCTTCGATAGTTAACAAGTTGCAGTTGAACGATTAAACCCGAAAAGCCGAATTCTGGCTGAAACCCACCTCTTTACACTTTTTGGAACTGTGAACTAGTCAGATAATGAGTGTTTACCGCACAAAACTCTCATAATATTTTTATACATATGAAACAAGTCCTCAAAAAATAAACAATGATTAAAGAAACAGCTATTTTAACGTCCATTTTTCCATGGATATCCAGCTGTTTATGTCATACCAGACAGTATAATAATAGTTTGATGACATTTGGGTGACAGAGCAATTTTTTGTAGAATAAAACATCTACTGTTCCCATTCATTTTGACTTATTAATCGTTAGCTTCCTGTGCACATCTAAATTACGCAAAACACCAAATCGAACCTAAATGGCTCCAGTCACAGTTTGTACAGGAGTTCCCAAGCTCCCAATTTTTGGGCGGTTATTAGGCCATTTTGAGGAAATGGCACAAAAAACCCAAAATTTCATCAAACGTTGGGAAAGTTCCCCTAAAGTTGGGAGATTGGGTTTGATCATTCTTACGTAGAGAAATTAATTTGTGAGTTATTCGCTACTGAATAAAACAAATATTTCATTAAACTAGGGTGTGTCAATGACGAACACTACTTGAAAGCGCACTAAAAACATTTAATATTCATTGTAATTAAGGGTTCATTCGTATATATTACTAAGGAAGACTGGATGATGACAGTGAAGAATCATGAAAATTACTACAGAAGCACTGCGTGAAGAATTATTTCACTAATAAAACAAAAAATACGTTAGCTACAATGATACATAATTGTCATACGAAGAAAACATGGTAACTACTCATAGAGACTAAATGGAAATGAGACATTTACTGCATTTTGAAATGTTAAGTTATTATCAGTTGAAATCATCCAAATTTTCAGTGTCTCACTTCACAAAATGATATGTTCAAAGATCTGGCATGGAAAACAAAATTGATAATTTGCTCCTACCTCTAACATCATTAATAATTTAGTCACTCTAGGTTGTCATAACTACGGTGCAGCAAAACAAAATATGAGTCATCATTAAATACGGTCACGAGAACGACACATTCTTATACTACCACAATCTATTTTGAATTCAACATTCATTTGTCCTGCTATTTATTGTCACCAGTACAGTACAGAGAATCATAAACGCAGTTATCGCGATCATCAATAATTTCAATTTGCGTCAAAAATTCAGCATACACAATAAACAGTTGCTCGATTTGTTGAATACTTCAAACAATAAAGGAGGTGAATATCATCAGCAAGAATGGTACGTTTGATCATAAACTGACATAAATGAAGACGACAAAGGGAATGTAGAGGGTTCAATTTTCGTGAACGTTTGTCTATGTTGACGGCTTTTATCTAATAGCTGAAAATATTTCTGAAACCGAAAAAGAACGCCTTCAATTCTAATTGTTCACCAAACTGTTACATATATATTTAGATTCAGTATCGTAACATGAACTAAGTCAGTCTGTCATATTCATTGCATTCTAATCCTGAATTCTTTTAGAACGTTAAATTATCTACGACAGTTCGTCGTGCTTAATGATAAATGATATTGAAAAAGGTTAGACTGGAATAAATCGGATTCTACTAAAATGTTAACGCACCAAGTTTCGCTTAATTTCTTTACTGTCAAATATATATAAATAAAATGACTCACAAAGTCGACAACTCTAGATTTAAATATCCATGGACAAAATATTTCGAAAGTCATTTAATCATAAAAGTGATAAGTCCCTCTTATGTTGCATTTAAGTTTTGTTACCGTTACACTATAAAAGTATGCTTAACAGTGGTACATTTTCTTTTAATTTCAATTACACATAGCACATACCTTGTGAGTTAACTTTCATGTTATAAAGTATACTGTACTATATCTTCTCTAAAGTCGTACAAGAGTCTAAACACCACAGCTGATTCCAGCTCGTCCTATTATGAATGATTTAGATATTATTTGGACAAAGTCTAAGCTATTCAGAAAAATCGTGAAATATAATAGTCCGCAAACTGTAAGACATCGAAATAAGGACTATTATTTGTTACGAAAAAAGACATCTATATCCTAAGGCTTTGAAACCTGACACTAAACGATAATTTAAATTAATGTATTCATGGTTGTGGTTATTCGTTTGCAGGCAACTCTTTTAATCCTCAGGGTCTCAACCGTTATCATCATTACGAAGATCATCATAAATATGTTAAATTTCAGCATGAGATGAAATTAAACAAGGTTCATGTTTTTATAAGTAGATTAGTGATGCTGCACTCAAACTAGTAATAATGGGAACAACATAATGTAATAACTGCAGTAATATTAACTGCTAAGGTTACTGTGGGGCTCAACGTTAAGCAAGAGACGGACCCCTGCTTGTTTTTAGTGAAATCCGAAACTAATACAATATTTCAAGGCAACTGAATTCTCGCTTTAGTGAAGCGTGATACCATATATTGTTCACTTAAATTTTCTTGTAAGATTTCTCACTTATTTATAAATGAACAATGTGACACACTCTCTGACTTAGCGCACTTCCACGATAACTAAATATATTCGAGTTAATGAGCTAACTAAGAATTTACGCCATGGTCCTATCCAATGCAAGTGAAATTATATAAGCACAAATGGACGTATTACACTTGATATTCGTAATAAACGCGCTAGCAAGTATAAAGGGATCAACATTTAGTTTAAATACAGAAATTGTGTACCAGAAGTTCGGGATCATATAAATGAACAAGCGCTCTAGAAAGTGCAAACAAGATTTTAAAGTTGAAAGTCAAATAACTGTCTGTAATTCACCTGAAATATTTTCAAACTCCACAAAATGTCAATTTCTACAGATATCCAGGTATCTTTCTGCACTAAAACATCTGAAATACACATCCTTCTGGCAAAAGTAAGACTCTTTTGTAAATTTACTCGATAAGTACGACAATTTGGCTATGATATATTAAAGAACGAATCCAAATGGTCACTAAATGTAACTTTCACAAACGATTGCACAAGTTGTGCCATTGCACATCTCTAATTTATACTGTGAATCACACAGTATAGGTAAAGATATACTACGACTATAGTCTGAAATCTACATAGTTCTGGAATTAACACCTGTAATTTGGGTAATTCTTACCATAAAATTAAGTTTTGCGTAACCCCTGGATCTGACTCCTATTTAGATCGTACGAATGTTTGTTATCGTCTATTCTCGTATATCATCGTCGACTTGAATCGCGTTAGTCAATAACGGAATTAAGTAAGTCGAATAACAATAATTGACTTGTGAATACATATATTTTGTATATGAAGCGAATGAAACATAGCAAAGCAAAATGACACACAGGGAAGATGGCTGGGGAGCCAACTCCATTTTAGTCAAGTGTTAATTAATATTTATCAGCAGACAAAATAAACTACAGACATGTGATGAGACATAGGATATGAAATGTACACACATATACGCTCATATAAAAACAGTCAAGACTGATAAGCAAATAATTGACAAGGTCAAAATATGACTCAAGTAGAATGAATAGAATGGAATGTCCGAAAGCTAGAATAAGATATATGGGCCTAATATAATGACTGACACTACAACCTCTAATCTTGTAATTCTAAACCGGTTGATTTCGTACGAGTAACGTCCCTCCAAATCAAAAATTGTGTATTATGGTGACTCACGATTCCCTCCCATCATGCTTTACTAATCTATTGAACTACGCTTATTTTATGTACGTTCTTTCTTACCGGATAACTTCCGTTGTCTATTGATTGTTCAATGAAACATTTTTTATTTAGTTCACAGTTATATATAGTATTAACTTTTTATTCAGTGAGTGGATTTTCACTCCAATCCACCTCGATTCTCTAACCGTCATACTGCAAAAAAACATTCAGCTGGCTGGTGCAGTGATAAACGATAGTTCTTGCAACACTAATGCAGTGGGACAAACGCATTCACTAATCACTTATGTCGTGAAACATGTGTTAGAAGCCTCTAACATCTGTGATTATCGGGGTTCTAGAAGATGGATCTATTCGAACCTCTACCTTATATCAAGAAATATATATAACCGTGTATGTTAAAGGACTGTATTCACTATTTTATGAAACATCATTTAAATCGTATCTGGATACTATAAATTATTTCATTTTCGGAATAACCTGTCCAATTCTGTGAGTCTGTCATAGTTTTTTTTGACAGTGTTTTTTTTCTAAACAGCTATTTCATATATTTCTTCAAGAAGCAACACAATAATCTTAGACGGTATTAATCTTTTAAACTACTTATCTCTGTACCTACCAATTTTTACTAATACGGAATTTCAGTTTATATATGTATCACTTGCCGTACTTTTTCGATTGTTTGATAATAAATAACGACATTTCTAAATTACTTTACTATAGAAGGCTATCTTTCTTGTCATATATGTTAAAAATTATTTTGCCTCCACACAGATACTGACATAAATACTTCATCTCCCCTACTATCTTCCTGCCATTGTCATCTTTTGTTTTTAACACCACTAATCCTCACGATACATTCATTCTTGGTTAAAACATAGATTTTGATTTTTAGACTAACTTGAGCCCTCAGAATTGATTTTTTCACCCCTATTTCCAACATTCTGTTCAATCCACTTGCTATACGTCACCTTCTTATCATGCCACAAAAGAAAATGAAGACCCCTGCTCCTAGGCGTTCAGCCAAACGTAGGAAAACGACACAATTTAACACCAATACTGACACGATTTCCAACAGTTTCAACGAGACGAGCCATTCCGTTCATCCGGAAGCAGACAAGCTTTTACCAGTTGTCTCCATTCCAGACATGTTGAAAACTCTGCTGGTAAACAGTGATGATAATCGCAACTGCAACCATATGGATGCTATAAAAAAGTTGCAAGTAGACATGAACATTCTCAGTCCGCTTAAATATCTCATCAACCCCAACCTCACAGAGACTCCAGATCAAATGAATGACATAAATATTTTCCTAGATCGTGTTGCATCAGAGGTATTTGAAAGAATAAGACGATCTAGCAATGCAATTGTGTTTAATATATCGGATACACATGGCCTTAAAAATATCAAATCTAGTCTGCTTAGAGCCAGCAATATGACACACGTACCATGTATATGCACAAGATTAAAAAGAAGTCATCCTGGTATGCACTCACCGATCTTGTTCAAATTCAACTCATCTGTAGACGCCAGTGAATTTTTAAATTTCTCCAATTCATTGAGACAAAAACAGATTTTCAAGGATATTAAGACTCTTCCGGATAAAACACCATGCCAGCGAAAAGCAGGAAGGGATAACTACAGACCATCAGCGTCAAACTCTCAAACGCATCATAATCCTGATGGTTGTAAAGTTAAGTCCAATTCTAAGAGGACGTCTAGCTTAACAACTTTGCCGCCACCGAAAAACTCTTCTGAATCCCATAAAGTTCGAAACCCAGAAGAAAGTAATCCCGATGTAGGTGGTATCCATCCTCTTAAGAATGTTGACTTAGATTCAACCCGAAGTAGTTGTTCTGATGAAGAATGGGATAACACAATCCAAACCCCTGTTAGTGCAACACCCAGTTACAGTAACTGTACAACGGATAACAGGAAAACTAATCATAACATTCATATAACTGACCACGCACTTAACGTTGATATATTCGAACCTCGCAAACCATCGCAAGTATGTTTAACAGTACACAATCCTCTCCAACTTATGAAGAAGCCGAAATCAACCACAAACCTTGGAAATAAACGTCTTAAACACGTTACCCATACGTCAGGTATAAATAGTTATCCGAATTGTAATTGACCACTTGGTCACAACCATAGACCTGATAGCCTTCTTGGTCCGGCTCCCAATATGTACAGTATGCACTTATCAGATGTTATATCCAATAGCAATGAGAAGACTTTTTTGTAATTCCGCCGGCTTTCCTGCCGGCAACGGTCAACATATTTCACATGATGACAAAGTGGTTGAATCTATTTCCCCTCGCAACACGACTCTTACCTTAGCTAATCCCATGAGTATTCATGGAACTACCAATTGCGATTTATACTCTAACCTGCTTCATTATGATGACTCTGAGTTTCTTA